CACACACACACACACACACACACACACACACACACACACACACACAGATTTCTGGCTGTTGTTGCCTATGAAGGGCAGCATTGGTTTACAGTTGTATTAATTGGGTCTCTGGAGTGAGAGTGCTGGGCTGACTGGCTGTCTGCGCTCAACCAAACATTATCATTATTTTTCTTGTTTATAAAAGACCTCCATATGGCCTGGAGCCAGAGGGAACGCTAACTAGGTTTAGATTAAGTTGAGAGAATTGACTGTTTTCTGTAGAGACTTCAAAGACTCATTAAGTTTTCAAAGGTGAGTACAAAATGTGTGAACTCGGCTTTGATTGCTACGTATATAGTAAATCCGTCAGTCAGTGGTGACTATGCAGTGCATGCTTGGGTCGTAGCTCTCTTTTCTTTTTTTCATGCTTTAACACCATAATTTCACAAATGCATGTGAGGAAAAAAAGTAAAAGGTTTGAAAGGAGTTGTTGTCACACAATCTTGAACCTTTGGGAAGTGAAGTGTCAGCAGTTCATATCACTTTATTGCACACTTCTGCCAACAAATCTTCAATGCAAAGTAGACAATGGAACAGACACTCGTGCGAGCAAGAATCTATAATCAGTCAATTTTATCTTAGGGAATGCCCATACAAATACATTTTAATATCAACCCGTGTAGCTTTTGCTACATTATTTGGAGAAAAGCTCTTAGTCTTTGAATTCAGGTGTTTTCAGTCCCTTTGCTGCAGGTGTGGAAAATCACATACATCAAATTTCTCATCAAATTGTGAAAGAATGGGTTGTCCTAAAGAGCTCATTAAGTTTGATAAGAGCCCAATGTTAAAACAAGCTGGTTTGTGATATCTCTTCCCTCTAGATATTCCACAAGCAGCTGTTAGTGGTATTATTGCAAAGTTTAGGAACCACAGAAACTCAACAGCAACTCAGCAATGAAATGGCAAACAATGGAACGTTACAGTGCAAGATCATCAAGTGCTAAGGAGCAGAATCTGTAAAAGTCTCCAGCGCTCTGCTGACTCAATAACTACAGAGTTACAAACCTCCTCTGGCATTAATATCAGCACAAAAACTGTGTGCCGAGAGCTTCGCGGCATGGGTTTCCATGGCCGAGCAGCTCCTGGAGGGGCAACGTGTAGGTGGCCCAGTGTTTTTGTGTACATAGTGTAAGTTTATACCTGGTGGAAGTTTTGAAAATGCTTATGACACAACACAAAGAAAACACTCCCGGATTTGGTTTTAGCCTGGATTTGCAGAAACTAAGAGGTTTTGAAAGATGAAGCAAATATCTGTATTTTTTTTCTTTTTGTCTGGGTATTTTTTCCACATTGCCATGTTTTTTCTGGCAGTGGATAATATTCCCCATACAGCTTTAATATGTCATGATATTTTCTTTCAAAGCACTGAAAATCTGTCCTCTACGTATACTTTCAGTAACAGTTCCAGCTCATCATCTGACTTTGGTCCCAGCAAAGAAACCATGATGTACATAAAAGAACATGCATTTATATTAAAAAAAAAAAGAAAAAGCTATTCAAGTGTAGAATCAGAAAGTAATATATCATCCTTTGGCTAGCTAATATAGGTATAGCATACCTCAGTTTTATTGTGCACTGCTCTATACCGCTCTTTGGCTGACTCATCTGTATCATTAGACCTTCTAGCAAAATATTCCCATTTTTCTCTTTTAAGAGTCCCACATTCCCACCGGGGCTTGGAATTTTTCTCAGTTCAGTTTCTTGCCTGCTCCAGTCGCTGTTATCATAAGTTATAGCGGCACATGTTTGGTATTAAAATATGAATCTTTGACAATCACAGTAATATTGCCCGACCTCAATGCAGTGCACAGTGACTGAAGGCCAAATATTGTCCTCTAAACA